GTATGGCGTCTGCAGGGGGTTCCTTCAGAGAAATCTGTAAAAAATGAAAACAATAAAAAGCTTATCAATTCCACTCATGAAAAGTTGTTGCAAATAGATTAACATACAGAAAAATGTTTACTATAGATAGCCACAGCATTAAGTTAGGAACATACAATCAGTTGAAAATTGGTCCACACATCTAGGTCAACTGGAAGTTGAGCGGATTTGATATGGACACTAAGGCACTAGATGATTACTAGGCAATATGAGAGTCAATGCCTGTGTGTTATTTTATTTATAAATGGGGGGCTACTCCTGTGGCAACCTCACAGACCACCTTTAGTGATCAAGAATTTCATGTGGACAAAAATGGTGCGCAGTGCATAGATGGAAGTTGGTTTTCGGACAAGGTCATTCAAGGGTCTTTTCATGATACCAAGACATTTTTCAATCCCACTGTTTTGGAAATAATGGCATATTTTATACACTATTACCGATCCAGCAATATGTTCAGTTCACAAATAAGAATTAACAAGTGGTACGTTAGCAGTTTTGTCTAGTGTATGTGGGTTGGATTTCTTGCTTTCTCCTGGTTTTCTAGTTTCATTCAAAATCATGACAGAATCTCCAGGCTTAAAATGTTGGTCTTACTATTACTTTGTAGATTATATTGATCTTTCTGCCTGTTATGAGCTTTAGCCAGATACTTCCTTGGAATTTGGTGTGCTGTAGTAAGTGTGGCTCTCAAGTTTTCAGTATATTCTTCTGACGTTCCGCAACTCTTGTGCATCATTTGCTCTGCAATATATTAAGTATCGACTTATGTAAAGGAGAAAGGCCAAAACGGCCATTCTGTGACAGAAAGAACTAATCCAGAGTCGTAGGCCCAAGACTAGTTCTTTCTCTCACAGAATGGACAGTTTGAGGCCTTTCTCCTACTTAAAACATGATTCTCTTTGTTCTGAAAATTTAACCAAAAAATGTGCAAAACAGTTAGCACACATACTATTAATTCATTGTTTACAGAATGGACAGTTACAGGTAAGCTTGGGGTGCACAGCTATTGTTGATTATTTTGATCTTTCTGCCTGTTATGAGCTTTAGTCAGATATTTCCTTGCAATTTGGTGTGCTTTAGTAAGCGTGGCTCTCAAGTTTTCAGTATATTCTCTCACGTTCCGCAACTCTTGTGCATCATTTGCTCTGCAATATATTAAGTCGGCTTGCAATCTTACTTCACTCCCTAACATGATTAGATTCGGAGTCAACTTGTGCTCTCTTGTATGCTAGCTCTGGAGGCTGCAGTCAGGTATTGTAGATACAAGTCCCATTCTCTAACATCACCCCTTTATGAAGGAATTAATCATCTGTATCAATGTTCTGTTAAATCTTTCTATGTTCCCATTACATTTGGGGTTTCTAGGACTGATTCGTGTTTTCTGTATTTCTAAAAATTTGCAGACTTCTTGGAATACTTCCGCTTCAAAACACCCCCCTGATCTGTATGAATAGATAAAGGGCATCCAAATTTTGCGATAAACTCTGCATATTACATTGGCACAGGTCACAGCTGTTTAATTGGTATTGGGTAGGCCTCAGCCCATTTACTGAAATGATCGGTTAGGACAAAAATGTACTGATTTCCTTTAGAAGTTTCTTGCAATGGCCCTACTAAGTCATTGATATTCTGTCGAATGGTGCTCCAACACGCATATCTCCTAAGGCAGCTTGAAGTTTTCGAGAAATGTGCTTCATTCTGGAACATGCATCACATTTACACATCCATACGTTGACATCTTCCCTCATTTCAAACCAATAAAACCTCTGTTGTAGTTTCCTTTTGTTTTCTTTTGGCCTAAATGTCCTCCAAGTAGACTTTTGTGTGTCAATCGCAAAACTTAAGATTTCATTTTTTCAGAAACCATGATTTGAGCATGTTTTGATAGTCCATCTAAGTATGGTACTCTGTGTACAGAATTCCATCTCTTAGGAACAGGGATGACCATAAATGCCAGTAATGAGGTAATGCTAGACTCTCAGTTACAATGGTTCTGTAATCCAGACAATGACTGTTCTTTACCCACCCCATCACCTCCTTTATAGTGGTATCCTCATTTTGAAGTTCGGCCAATTCTTTTGTTCCATATACACCAAATCTAGTGAGTGGTTGAATTAGAGATGTTGATCTGTTCATTCTGTTGTTTATCCTATTGACCTTTTTTGGCGTTTCAGACTCATCTCCTGTACTAGATTTTGTTCCCTGTTCCATTTTTACACTTAGATTTGGTCCTACGTGTACCATCATTTGAGACTTTCTCTTACATTTCTGACAAGGTCCACACTTCAATATCAAAACTTTGCATGCATTTTTTCGTAGATTCCATAAGAAATTCTTTTATCTCGAGAAGCTTTTTCCAAAACTCCGCATGATCTTTGATATCTTCTACAGCGAAGTCATACACAAATTCCAGGGCTGATTCAAATAACTCGGACAATTGTGTTTCATGTCCATCATAAAATATTCGAAAAGATTCCAATATACAAGTGTCCCATTGCAAAACGTGGTTTCCTCCAAACTTTCCACGTTTCACGTCGGAGTTGTAAGAATCGTCAGCAGTTCAAGCATATCCTTATTGCAACAATTGCATTCTCTGGATAATAAATGCGAGACATGGCATCAGCATTTTGGTACTTGGTTCCTGGTCGGTATTCAACGACAAAGTCAAACTGCGACAAATCCTCAATCCATCTGGTTACCCTTCCATCAGGTTCACGCTATTTAAACAGTCATACTTATGACTCATGATCCGCTCTGATCGGAAATTTTCTGCCAAACAGATATTGTCGATAATATTCCGTGGTGAAGTATCGGATTGCAAGAAGCTCCTTGTCTGTCACACAATAGTTTGATTCAGCCTTGTTCAGTGTCCTGCTTCCATAAGCTATCACTGTCTCCCATCCGTCTTGTTCCTGGCTTAAATCATAATTAACAACCCAGTAATTATGTGGAGATTAATACGATATACAGAATATCTGTGGGTTTTCTTTGGTTAATGGGGTCTCAACTAATTTTTTATTTGTCTAAACTATTTTTTAACTATTTATTATCAAAGAATCATCTTTTCAGTGATAAAATATGAATGATTCATTCTTCAAGTTAATAAAAGCGTCACATGGCACAAAATTGAAATGAAAGAAATCTACAATTATAATTTGTGGAAATGTGCCAGAAGTGGGGTGTTTTTATTAAAAACTTTTTTGCATTTTTCATTATTAAGATCAGCATTGTTACCATGCCATATAAATTTGTACATCTTGTATGCGAATGCAGGCAATTCATACTTTACTTCTCAACTTTCCTCAATGCAGGAAATTATTGATTTTGGAGAAGGTAATGCAAAGCTTTGATCAACAATTCAATCTCTCCATACAGGCATTATTTAACCTTATGATTTCTCAAGGCATTGGCCAACTTCATGAGTTCTCAATGCAGGCATTGGCCGACTTTATATAGTTCTCAATGCAGGCACTGGCCGACTTCATTGTCTCTCAATGCAGGCATTGGCCGACTTCAAGAGTTCTCAATGCAAATATCACTTTTTAAAGCTTTGTTTATAGATGACTCGAGCATCACCTTACAAAAATCAATGCTGAAGCACACATTTGAATTGACAAAATTTTACTCTTCAAAGTTGAGCAAAATAAGGTTAAATTGGTAAAAGTAAAATACTGCAATTCCAGATGGAAATGTTTTTACTAGAATCATTTTTCCATTTTACATCTCCTAACCTGCATTGTTGCAATGCTACCGAATTTGTACAACTATATCCGAATGCAGATAATTTACATTTCCCAATTCTCCAATGCAGGATTTCCATTACTATGCAGTATGAATGCAGGCTCAGTCATGCATTGTGCATTATAATGTCTTTCAATGTTAAGTCAGTCAATGCAGGCATTGGCTAGTCATTTACAATGCAGGCAAGAAATCAGTCAGTCAATGCAGGCATTTTTGGCCGACCTCACATCAGTCAGTATGTTAGTTTCCAATTTAATCATACAAGGAGTCAATGTTTTATAGGCTTTTTTCAAAAAAATGTCAGGCATTGGCAGTAAAACTGACACAACAGTCAGACACACATTCAAACAAATGCGCACACTTAATCAGCATTGGCTGATTAATCAGTTTTATGCAGGATATTGACCTTCAATGCAGGCTGGCCAACTCTCAGTCAATGCAGGCATTGGCTCACCCCCAAGTCAGTCAAAATATGAATGCACATCAGTATATAAATGCAGGCATTGTATTAGAGATAAAAATAATAGGCATTATTCACTGCACAACAGTCAGTCAATGCAGGCATTTTCGACTGCACAATCAGTTTCTCTCGAGCTCCAATGCCAGTGTATACCTAGCAAATGTAGGCATTGCTTTAATCTCTCAAGGTCCAATACAAACATTTTCTTTAAAATGCAGGCATTGACTCAGTCATGCTAATATAAGCCTTAGGTATTTACAGACTTTCTTGAAAGTTAATGTAGGCATTGTCATTGTCTGACTTAAGAAATTTCTCAGACTATTTCATGAAGATTCTTACTCAAGTCAAGGGTATGTTAGTTTCCCATTTAATATACAAGGAGTCAATATTTTATAACCTTTTTTACAAAAAATAACTTTTTACAGTAAAACTACACATTTACATGTAACATACATCCATACCAATGGACTCTTAATCGGAATGTTTATTAATAGTTTAATGCATTGATATTGACCTTAACCTGAATATTTCAATGCCCCTACCCCCAACTACAAAAGATGAATCTGCAGTATATAATTTGATCACTGTATTAGAGATAAAAATAATATTTATTCATGTAGTTTCAAGTTCAAGTTCAAGTGCATTTATTTCACTCACACCAACATCAGTGGTACATGAGGAACAACATATAAATTAGTTGTCATAATTGTAAGAAAAATAATAAATATAATTATGAAACAATATAGCATAAATGAGAGGAATAACATATGCACATAGTATAGCAATAAACATACAATGAAAAAAGAATTTAAAAAAAGAAAAGAGAGGGTATGGTAACATTTAGATTATGGAGGACAGACAGTGTCTTTTTTTTCAGATATAAATATACAAAGGTTTTTTAAAGATTCTAAATTTGTCGTTGACATAATTTCACAAAACTTAAGAGTATTTGGCATTTTACAATATCTGGGGTGTAAAAGATTCTTTCTGATACAATTCAATGTTTTACACTCTAAAATAAAATTAATTCATCTGCTATTTGCCCTGTATTACACAATTTACAAACTCTTTCCTCTAATGGAATATTTGACCATCTACCAGTTTCAATAGGGAGGTGGTGGTTTGAGGTCCTAAATTTTATAAATATTTTTTGGAGTTTATTAGGTAAAATACTTAGATATTTTTCACATCCAAATTCGTTCTTAAAAATTTTGTAAATACTACCTTTTGATGAATGATTAATATCACTATGCCATTTTTGAATAAATTGATCTCTTAATCTTTGCTTCACTGCTGCAAGTATCCAATTTATGTCAATAGAACTTTGTTCATACCAAATGTTAGAAAAACCACAAGAGGTTAAAATTTTATAAATGAAATCTACCCATGGGTTTTTTGGACCTCCTTGAAAATAGTGAGAACATAGATATTTGTACAAAACACAAACTATTTTAAATTATTTTCTGAAAAAATTGTGGTAAGCAATTTTAACCAGTAGGAGATCATTCTTGTAAAAATGATAATATACAATGGGAATCGCCCAGTCTCTCCATACACCATATACGATGACCTACTACTCTTTAAATGGAAAATATGTCTTAAAAATTTTAAGTGTACACGCTCAATGATGTCAATGTTTTCATAACCCCAAATTTCACAGCCATAAGTCAAAATTGGAACAACAACTTTATCAAAAAGATCCAACTGACATTCAATTGGTAAGTTAAATTGTCTTATCTTCCTTATAACACCATACATTGCTTTCTGTGCTTGTTCACATAAATGTTTTTTGGCCTTACAAAATGAGCCTGAGCGTGAAAATATTATCCCAAGATACTTAAATTCTTTTACATTTTCAATTGCATTATTATTGTAACAAAATACCTTTTTTGACATTGGTCCTTTAGAAAATACTAGAATTTTTGTCTTACTAACATAAACATTTAGTTTCCATTGTGTACAATACAAAATCATCCAGAGCCTTTTGCAAATCTACATCAGTTTCAGCCAGCTGTTTTCCTTTTCTTTTGGTGTAAGTATCGGCCAGTGTATACCTGAAATTAAAAAGATACGCTTTAATCAACTTTGGTCTCATGAGCCAAACTTTCCTTTACATGTCTGATGCAGATTCATTGAATCAGTAATGTAATATAAGGCTATCTAAGGACCTATGTTCAAAAAGTCTTTATGTGAAATTTTCATAACTTTGACAGTTCTTTACTGACCACTTGCTCTTAATTTTTAGGTATTAAAACAATACCTCTATATGCTTATTTTTACACAGGAGGATGTTCAAAAACACTGTGAAATGCTTAAAATAGATTATTTAATTCAGACATTATTGTTCTACCCCAAATATGCGCAAAAAAGACAAAAATGTTAATTCACATTCAAATCAACAAATATTTAAATCATATGACTTGTATCTTTTAAATGAAGGCAAATTCATTGAAATTCATCTCGCAAAGAGTATACCTTTATGATAAAATATATGAGAAATATGACGTTTTCTTTTATTTTTGTACTCTTGTGTCATAAATATTGATCTTTCTGCACTAAAAAAAAAGCTAAGAGGGACTGACAAACATCTGAATATAAAACTATTTTGCGAAAAAACTAGTATTTTGCTTTGAATACGGCATAATTTCTTACACAGAATTTTCATGTTATTGGACAAATTTTAAAAAACAGGGCAGAATTGTTTGCAAGTGTGAAAGGGCGAAAATCAGACAAGGTTAAAGTATTCTTGATTATACGGTTATGATTATTCATACCAATGACTTTCTTTTTGTCCTATCAACCAGCTCCTGTAGTGTTCTCTCCATTAGTTGAATTGAGTCGGGAGGTTCACTTGATTCTGAGGGGCTCCTTACAGGAATCAAGTCTTCTAAGGGGAAAGTTACCTGTGAAATATTCAAACGTTGAATTATAGTTAAAATATTATAAGCATCTACAAGAATTCTCATCACAATCCATTTTCTGAGAGATGTGGATATTGTTTATCTTTATGACTATAAGGAGTTATGGTATAAAATGTTATTGCAATAACACAAAATTTCCTTTGAAATCCCCCAAAAATGAGTTTTTACACACACATAAGGAGATGTGTAAAATGTCTTTTTAAAACCTGAGAGGCTTTTTTGAGATATCTCGTGGAAATTACAGAGTTACAGATAGACAGAAATAAATACAAATGGATAAAGTACAGACAGACTGAAATCATCCCCCTATTTCAGCAGCAGGATTTTTTCTTAGGTATACATGTATATGAAAGTGACATTACACATTGAATAGATTAAAACTTTATTTACATTGATTGGCGGTGTAAGGAACTTTTCCCTCGCTGTAGAAGAGAATTCCTCCCACCATTGCCTCTCCTCATCTTTCAGAAGCCCACACTCCAGCAACTTTGGGCAGGTTTCCTGAAGAATTCTGTTCAGGTACATGGCCTTCTCTGTAGGGACCACATATTTTGGTTTTGTCCTCAAAAAATCCATGTCCTTCAGTTAGATTTGAAATACATTGACAATGTTAGTGAAAAACATCAGTTACTATATTTGACATTTTGATAGAAATTGTAGAATTAAATTGTATTTGATTTTGATATACATGTACAGTAAAGTATAAACAAAAGACCGTTTCTGCTCATGTGTCTACGAAGTATCTGATCTTGTCAAAAAAAAATTTATACACAAGTACCGTATATACTCGCCTGTAAGTCGGTTGTATTTAATAAGCTTAAAAATCAGAGGGACTGACCTCATATAATACTATTCATTTTATACCTCGCCTATAAGTCGGACATAGAGTTTTGGACCAGAAATTAACTCCCAAAAATCCGACTTATAGGCGAGTATATACGGTACTCTTCTTTATAAATTGGGTTTTGGAATTGTCAGAGGTTACGGCATAGTTATGTTTATTTAGTGAACATTATCTGCTGAAATTATTAATGTAATCACCTTAAAAATTTGAATCCCACACTTATCCTGCTGATGTTCAAAGGAGTTTTCATCTTCACAGTCTGGCAGCCATCTTTCACCTTCACCCCTTCTATAATGGAAGATGGGGGTCCTGCTTTCTGCAGTAACAATCATTTATTAACAAGGTTCTTTTTCTTATATCATGAAATGAAAACCACATGCAATATAAAATATCATTATGAATTGTACTGACAAAAATCATGCAGTATATCAACTCAAAGCAGTTTGTTTTATAAATATAATATTTCAATATTGTCGTACTCCTCTACCTTTGTCAAGAGTATGGATTCTGAATTCAAACTGGTCTCCTAGACCATGGTTGTTGACCAGGTGATGTACCATCCAATCTTTAAAATCCCAGACTTCTTTGACAATTTTTGATTCCTTGATGTAACTTAATTTCTGAAAAGTCCTTGTCAATTCTGAAAAAGAAGGGAGACAACTCTTTATAAATTGTACAGAAAAAAAATACAAATATTTTCGAATTATTTTGATCGGTTATTTAATTTATTTGTAATGTATTTCTTTAAAACACATCTTAATTCTCAATTTTTAAATGCAGCATGCATATACATGTATATCATTGTTCAAATCATATTGTATTCTACAATTACCTTCCAATGTCATTATATCAGCTTTTAACAAGCTGGAAAAATTGGAAAACATGGCATCTATGTCTTCATGGGTATGACCAACGGGTAGCATATGCAAATAACACTAAATAATTGGAAAATAATGACTAAATACTTGACTGTAATATTTCAAGAGTTCATATTGCAAAGGAAAATAATTTAATTCTGCTTGTAACATATGTCACTTGAATGGTTAAAACAATTATTTATGACAATCTTTAAAAGAATATTTGTTTGCTCTCTCCAAACTCAGGGTAAAAAAAAATGGGTTGACAGGAATGTGGAAAATTTCAACAGACATGTGCATATTATTATACATAAAATGGATTATAAATTTCTACCTCTTCAAAAATGCCAAGGTGAACCATAATACCAAGGAAGCCAAGAACAATCTTATTTTTGTTATCAGATGCACTGTCTGTCTGCAAGTGCAATTCCCTTCCCAGGCAGTCTTTGTAGTCTGCAAATATATATATATATATACATATATATAGTTTTAACAAGAATTGTTATTTTATTTTCTTATTGATTACTGGACACTGTGATATTTTCTTTGGATATTTGAGCGAGGGTCGGAAAACGTGATAGAGGACAATTAAGGCTTGCCAAGCCCTCCATGTGTTCAACCCAAGCCCCAAAATTACTAAATTTTCAAGGCGTTATCAATTTTTGTACTGGCCCGGTATTTTGTCTTCTCCTGTAATAGATTTAATTAGGCACATTTATGGAGTAATTTACTGTGACACCAAACTGTAAACTTTGCAATGTATATGACGTCACAGTGGTTACCTTTATTTCATCAATGTAAGGTGTTGTTGCAGGATAAAATCTTTAAAGTCAATACAGGGTGTTTCACAATATATCTGTCACACATTTTACATGTTGAGAAAGTATATACAAACAAATCCTCATGCCATATTCAATATTTGAAATTAAAATTACACTAGATGGGAAAAACTATAAATACAGCATAGTTACCAAGTAGAGTTTGCAGTAATACAGTCAGATTGAGATTGGAGTCATGAGGATACTGGAGAAGATCAAAATAGCCATATCCAACTTTCCGTGCTCCTGATACCTCTAAAGTGTATGAAATATAGGTACATCTTACAATTTTTATAAATGAGAAAACTATACATTGTAATAGCTAAGTTACAAATTATTCAGCTCATATTAAAATAATTTAAATAAATTCAAAATTTATTTGCTAACGACCTGAATCTCTGTGTACAAGGAAGCCCAGCAAATGAGTCCTGACTTGCTGGAGATTGCCAATCTGCTTCGAATTCCTAGATTTGGAAAAAAGAATGGGAATGTTTGTTTTTTTCTGGTCCATTCCATCCATGATAATGGTCAGGCATTTGCGGGGAAACAACCTTGACACTTCTCTCCTCTCATAGTATGCTTCTTTTTGTCTCCTGCAACATCATAATTATTATCACTAAATCTGAAAATTTCTAATGCTTACAAATGACAGTCAATTTGTATACAACATTTACCTCACGTAATCCCAATGCTGCTTTTTTCTCTCAAGAACAATCATTTTTGCATCTCTCTCATATCTTCCACACTTCTCAAATTCGAAGTGGAGAGTTGTGCAAATGTGGCACTTTGAAAAGGGGTTTTCCTATCAATAAAAAATAAGGTGCAAAATTCTAGTTGAGCGGCTGAAATATTAAAGTTTAAGGAGATATGTGTAGATGAAAAACATTGTTAACATAGATTTTAACCAAACACTCAGGCAGATATTAAGCTGATATAGTCTCTATCAGGATGATTTACTATCTAAGTGAGCTAGGTCAGAGAGTAAATTTTACAACATTTTTTTACTGAAGGGAAGCACTTCTAATATAGAGTTAATTAATGGTATGTTATGCATTTAAAGAATGAATTAAAAAGCAACATAATGCCCTGTTCACACGGAGTGTTTAATTTGAATTAGACGTAAAGTTACTGCGAATTAGTTTCGCTTAGCGTTCAAACGGAGAATTTAATGCGAATTAATTTCATTCGAATTAGTTTACTGCACAGTAAATTACTTCGCATTAGCTCATTGTGAACGCTAAGCGAAGCTAATTCAAATTAGCTCATTGTGAACGCTAAGCGAAGCTAATTCGAATTTAATTTTGAGGCATTTGTAATGGCAAAATTGGGTCAAGTGCAACATTTCCGTGGTAAAATTGAAGTATTAATTTGTGCCATCTCTGAGTGAAAAACTAAGGAAAATAGTGTTAATCGCTAAAATGTGTGTACAGACACCATAAGGTGACGTGATTTGCGAATGACGTCATAATAGCCCTTACTGACGCCTGGCCGTAGAAGTAGAATTTTAATTTCGCATTAGTTTACTTCGCATTAGCTGTCTTGTGAACGCAATTTAATTCGCATTATTTTGATTCGCATTAGTTTACTTCGCATTAATTTACTGCGAATTAAACTCGTCGTGTGAACAGGGCATAAGTTTTACTGTATAATCTGGGTTGAGGCAGTTTATGCTTTATAAACCATGGAGCTTGTCATAACTCTGGACATATTTCATCAGCTTAATACACAGAAGTAGAGAAGATTTTCAATGAATTAATGCATTTTTACTTAATAATCAATAGAGCCCCGCCCTAACACCAGAACCCCTGACCCAAGGGCAATTTTGAAAGAGGCACCCTTCCTTGTCATAACTATGTGCATTGTATATGGCATAATACTCAGGTCAGCGCAGAAAAATCTTTAAATCCCGAATAATGCATTTCACTATTTATTCAACTCAGCCCCACCATAGTACCAGAATCCCTGACCCTGGGGCATTGAATTTCAAAATTTTTGTTCCCCTTCACCATAGACACTGAAAATGTTTAAAAATTTACGAAAGCTGAATGCGGACAGACAAAAAGTACTAACTTTAACCACTGTTATGTGTGGAAAGGACCTTTTCCATATCTTCAGAAAGGATGACTTTGTCAGGGATTGAGAGTCAAGGTCAGATGCCATTATTTTCCAGACCTCAGTCTTCTTCATTCCTGCTGGAAGAGTAATCTTCTCCTGATGTGGCATGTGTTCCCCAATATCATTTACAAAATTCTTGAACCATCCAATGCTCTCTACCATAAAAGGAATGATATGTACACATAAAGTAATTTGAATCAATACATGTTGATACATGTGCATGTACATACATGCATGTGGTGTACATGCATGTGAAATAAACAAAATAATGTAAACTTACAGTTAAACAATATTTATCCCCTCACCAAGGCACTGGGATAAAAAACATAGAACTTGTTGGATAAAAATCACATCCAACTACAAATCATGTGAGATCCTATATATTTATATCAATGAAATGAACTAATTATTCTAAAGAGAGCACTGATGTTAATTTTCTTTTTTCAACTGTATTATTGAAGATTTTTAATGAAAAATTCTTGCAAAGCAATTATTATCATATTACCACTGTTTTGAATGGAAGGTCTCACTGATGCTGTGTTTGCATGAATCTTTTCTCTGACACCATTTCTGCTTTCAGTAAGATATTTGTTGTACTTGTATATCGAAACTTCATGAACTTCCCTGTAAAAAAAAAGTGCCAGTGTTTTATTTTTACAAGAGACAAAAGGGTCTGAACACTAATTAAGTTTAGTAGGCCATAAAAGTACATGTGGCTCTAAAATAGTCCATCAATGCCTTCATTTGGCCTTTATGACAGTCTCTCAATGCCTGCATTGGCTTTTAAGACAGTCCCTCAATGCCTGCATTGGCTCTAATAAAAGTCTCTCAATGCCTGCATTGGCTCTTAAAATAGTCCCTCAATGCCTGCATTGGCTTTAAGAAGTCTCTCAATGCCTGCATTGGCTCTAAAAATAGTCCCTCAATGCCTGCATTGGCCTTTATGATAGTGTCTCAATGCCTGCATTGGCTTTTGAGACATTCTCTCAATGCCTGCATTGGCTCATAAGAAAGTCTCTCAATGCCTGCATTGGCTATTAAGATAGTAGCTCAATGCCTGCATTGGCTTTTGAGACATTCTCTCAATGCCTGCATTGGCTCTTAAGATAGTATCTCAATGCCTGCATTGGCTATTAAGATAGTAGCTCAATGCCTGCATTGGCTATTAAGATAGTCGCTCAATGCCTGCATTGGCTCTTAAGATTGTATCTCAATGCCTGCATTGGCTTTTAAGATTGTCGCTCAATGCCTGCATTGGTTTTTAAAATAGTATCTCAATGCCTGCATTGGCTTTTTTTGTAGACTTCTCAATGCCTTCACTGGGTCTTCAGACAGCATTTCAATGCCTGCATTACCTCTTTTTTAAAAAAAAAATCTGACATTGATCATTCTTATTGGGGAATCCCCTTCAAATTCTATTTTCGTAAAGTACATTCTGCATTACAAGTTAATTAATTTTCCTCTTGTCCACCTACATTATGTATTCCTTTTTTGCAACATTTAATTACACGAATACATTTATGCCTCTTTCAACTGCGTATGTGATTCCAATATACACTTATCTAATTGAGAACAAATATTGCCATAAATATAATGGACAGTGTGTCGACGATTCATTAAATATTGATACTGTTAGATTTTGGAAATAAGTTAGTCACACCATAACACTCATGTTTGGCTATTTTTGTGAATATTGATAGTTTTCTTGATAGATTGATAAAATTTCATTTCTTTTATGAATAGAAGTCAACATTTCTTTCCATATTTTCCAAAATATTGACCTCTGTCAAAAAAAAAATAATTGAGACAAATAAAAATTAGTTGAGACTCCACTTAGTGCAGTATTGCTGAACGAATGCTGCGCCAATATCTGTGCATTGGGGAGGAAGACACAACATGGACTGGTGAACCTGGGCATTGTAGGTGTACCCCGTCATAACAGAGGAAGTTCAGGTCACTCCAAAATCCCCTGTGGTGCCAAAAATGGACTCCTTCTAGGTCGGAACATCCTGCCTTAAGAAAATTGTTTGCGGCAACGATTTTCGCATTAAAGTCGCTGGAGGACGCCCAAGGCTGACGACGCAACAGTTGACCGACAATCACAACTGGGATATCCATCCCCTCGTGTAAATAACTTGCTATTGAAAGGATATCCGTTGATAATTTTTCCATCTCATAGCGCAAAATGTCATTTTCGCCAATCTGAATAAAACACACATGTGGTTTGTTTTTAAATTTGATAAAATCCTTTAACTGGGACACACGTAATCCTCCTCGGGCACATACCCACACATTAAAATTGTCCGAATCCAAATTTAGATTCATGAGACTTGAGTTTGAGTCCATGTAACGCTGGAGCCGAGACACAAATGAATGTCCTATTATGCAAACACTGAGACGCTTCACGTCGTCCATGTTGTGGTCCATCTCCCATTTGTAACCGGTTATAACCGGATCGCGCACTGCACGGGCGGGCCGAGCCAAAATTAACAATTAGGGTAGTGCAAAAGCGTTTGTTTACACTCACCGTTCTCTGCCAAACAAAGATATATGATCGATATAATGTCACTAGATGTTCCTTGCAGACGAAGGACGTAGGTACATCAATAAACTTCGCAAAATCTTACAAATTTCACTGCACCAAATTTGTGTGGCTTCTATCAAAATTCAATGAATGCAGCATGGCAGATTGCTGAATTATGATTGGCTAAAAGGCAAAATTTTGGGTTAGGTTAAAACTAGGCCACAAAACGTTTATACCCGTAAGACGGATATGGGTAAAATAAGTGAAAACTAAATAAACACTGCACATGTCACATAAAAGTTATTATTTATAATAATCACTAATTTTGATCATATCCCATTACTTTAAACATAATTCACACAATAATCGGTAGGATTTTTATATACTCTTGGTTGATATATTATGAGAGTTTCCAAATGGTTTTTCATTGTTGCAAATGCAAATGCAACCGTCATTGTAACATTTCATTTTAAAGCATACTTTTGCCTCGCTTTTTAAAATACAGAAACAGTGCAGTTCATGTAACTTCTGTCTTTTCTGAACATTAATATAACACTAAGGCGCAAGATGATAGAAGTATTTCTCATCTGTTTGACTGTTTTCCATGGTAAAAAAGATGGCATTTTTTTCAGGTTAACTTCCTGAAATCTAGCACCATAAAGGATACCTTCCAACGCAAAATTTCAAAGTTTCAGACCATACATGTAAAAGAATTTTCTTTTCGATAGTCACAATTTACTTTATTGAAAGATAAACAACACTTTAGTTTCCCATCCTTTTACATGATTTACTTATGCAGTTTTGTCATTTTTCGGCTGTGAATTTCGACAAAACCAAGACAAGTATGCAAAATGTGCGAAGTACATCGAAAAATACTCATCTTTAAGAAGTAAATTTGAACGTTTTAACCAAAAAATATCAAACAAAGTTCCATTTATTAATATGGAAAAATCTATGATAGAATCATACACATTTAACATCATAAAATTTATAAACAAATTTGCTTTTAGAACATTGACTTTTAAAACTTAAGATAATGATTTTAGAGAATGTGCCCCTTTGAAACATGAAACAATTTAATACTATAAGGGTTATGTCTCGTACCGAAACTCGATAATTTTAAGCTTTATTGCAAGAAAAATGTGACCTTAATTTGTGCGAAAAACCATGTGAGTTTAAAAAGTTTGTTGAGCTGTATAGTCAGCATAAACAAAACGTAGGTGTATCGTATATGTTTTGCACACGGCACTTTATAGGTGATGCAAACAGGTATATATATAAAAAAACGTAGGTAAAAAGTATTTTTTGCACACGGCCCTAAAATAAATCCATGCTATATATATAAACCAGCGCTGGACATTGAGGATCACTCTGCGTGAGTACTTAAAAGTGAACACAAGTAAAAAAGTTTCAGTGGTCAAGTCAGAGGTATGGAACCAAGGTATCGCTTGTTTTATTGAGAATACTGACAAGAGTGGACCCTGGATGAAAACCCTAGAAGAAGCCGCAGGATTACCATAAAACCCATTCAGAGGAATCTAATCAAACAGTATGGACTTGGGAGGAATACTTTAAAGAACTGTGGGGCTTGGATAAGATGATTCCTGAACAATCTAAAGAAAAAGTTGAAGAAACTAAACAAAAAGTATGGTTGAAAAAAAGAGTGAAATTTCCTGAAAATTATGTGGTGATAAGGAAGCACTGCTCTTTTGAGGGAATGAAGGGTTATCACGACTACAAATGGGAGATCAGAGGTGAGGATGATGATGGTTTTCGGATTGAAACTATATACTTCCCCGAGTTAGAATCGTGTATTGAACATTTACTTCTGTACAAGAAAGAAGGAAAAGCCTTAAAAAGACCGCATCTAGGTACTTATACAGAGTATCTCCATGGAATAATTCCTTATTTTCCAAATGAAAAAGGTATCCCTTGGATGACACGAGACTATGATGATGATGATGATGATAATTTGGACTTTATTTTAGATTAAAAGACAGCCTGTAAATTGTTGTATTTTCATTCTGAATAAAATCTGTGTTCTTGATATAATCTGTCTTGTGTGTTATTTGTTATTGTTTTCAGTAAAAATCCAGTTTGAACCGGCTGGCTGGCTAGACTGGCTAGACTGTGAAGCGTGACGTCATAATCACATTCTTGAAATGTTTTGCACACGGCGCATTTACCTGTGTCCATAAACAAAACGTAGTACCAACGTACCAATGTAAACACAGTGTAAACAACTCCGTATTTAGGGATAGGTTAGGGGATAGGGTTAGAGGGTTAAGGGGGTCTAGGGTTAGGGTTAGGGGGTTAGGGTTAGTTAGGGTTAGGGTTAGTTAGGGTTAGTTAGGGTTAGGGTTAGGGTTAGGTTAGGGTTAGGGGGTAGGGTTAGGGGTTAGGGTTAGTTAGGGCCAGGGGGCTTAGGGTTAGTTAGGGCTAGGGGGTTAGGGTTAGTTAGGGTTAGGGGGTTAGGGTTAGTTAGGGTTAGGGTTAGTTAAGGTTAGGGTTAGTTAGGGCTAGGGGTTAGGGTTACGGCTCAACCAATCAAAACTGATCACATGATTCCTCTCAGCCAATCAGAATGCGGGGCTATCGGGACGCCTTATACTACTGACGTTGTGAATTTTAACACTCATGAGTTCTCATAAATAAAGTGATTTATATTTATTAATTGAGTATTTCACAAAAAATGTATATTATAAAATATGTACAGATATTACTTCGATATTCTGTGAATGAAAAATATATAACTTTGAATTTATAACATCAGGTATAAACAAGCTTATGTACATGTACAAGTGAAAATGACAGCGTGTCCGTTCAGCGTGCAAATCGTGGTACACGTAAATAATTAAATAATGATTAATCAATGTTTTATAATAATAATTTTATCAATAAATAACACAAAACTTTATGCATTTGATATATTAATCAACCTGTATAAAGCCTTTAACTGAATAAAACCTGAAAATGATAGCATTGTTTCAATTACGGTTAACACACAGGTATGCACAAGCATCTATTTGTACTTTCACTTTGCCAGAAAGATGAGTCCATCATGGTTTTGAGAAAGTGAACCCAAGCAGCAACGTATAAGCTGCCGATTGAATTATAATTTTTTTCATAGTAAATAATTAAAAACACACGCCTTTCAGTATGATTTTGATCATATTCTCCAGTCAAGAAGTTGTCCATACATGTTAACCTATTGTGACGAAAAATGGGGAGATTCAGACCTCTAAAGAGGTATCGCGTGATATTTGACGCACGGGTTTGTTAAGATATTATTTTTCTCAAAGTAAACATCTTCATGTATTAGCAGAATGCTTTCACGACCAATAATAAAATTTTTTAGAAGAAAATCAAGTAATAAAATGATTCATTTTACATACTCTATACAATGCTTTTATTTCATGACAATCACTAGACAGGGTAATAAAATTTCGTTTTCCCCTGCCATCTTTCTGCTTTTCAAAATATTTAACCATTTTCAACACTTGTGAATTTCGAGAAGTACCTATACTTCGTTGAATAAATACTTCCGCCTTTCTCTAATTTTTTGCAAAGAACCGAAGTATATTTTTGACACAAAAAGGAAATATTGGGCTAGGCGTCTTTAATTCCGCAAGTGGGCACAGTAGCTCTAGTTTTTTTTCTTTTTGGGGGGGGGGGGAGGAGGGGGGCATTGCATTTTGTTATGTAACGGTGAATATACATGTGATTATGTAATTATCTATCTAATATAAAAGGCAAACAATATTCACCTAATCTGAGCACGTTAAATGTTTTTTGAAGTACTGGAGAAGAAAATAGGGGGGCATGATATTCAATCGCAGAATAATATATCCCGACCTCCCGACCGGGGTACATGTATTAAATCAACTTCTGCCATTCTTAGCATATCATTGTTTTTGCGATTCTGTATTTAGTAAAGGTGTAACTTTTTTTATTTCGGGAAAACCTAAATATCGATGTTATTAATCTTAATTAAACGGGCCATTGACGGAAGAAAAATTCTAGTAAATGTTGTGATAAATGGCAAAACATTTTCAATCATAAATATCTATGCTTCAAATAATCTAAATAAAAGGCTTAAGGCTTGACTTACTTTTTTATCACTCTTTTTATAACATAACTTATAATTATTTACTGATATATTAATCACATAATCAACGCAGAGAGGGAATGGAAAGTCCTCCTCTCTCTCTCTCTCTCTCTCTCTCTCTCTCTCTCTCTCTCTCTCTGGGATATACTGACTACCTTTTTTGATATTTAGACTAAATGAAAATATTCAATGTATGAGCAAAATACAAAAACATCAAAGTGTTCAGTAAATATAAACATACAGCATCTGTAACTATATAGGCATTGTTCAACATTAATCGTTCTACCCGAAAATGCGTGATTTTTGTAATACAATGTACGCAGAATGATAAGTAGGCCTAAATATAATTAAATAAATGTCCTAAATAGTCATAATGTTTTTTTTTTTAATTTTCTGCATTTCATTTCTCAACAATTGATTTTTTTTTTATTTGGAGCAGCTAAAAATATTTTATCTGAACACTAGGAAAAATTGTTAGTCCGCGACTTTGACGTCATTTTCTGCACATTGTGACGTCAAGAGCTAGAATAGTTTGACGGCTTGTCAAATGTTGAAAAAAAAAATTAGTAAATAGGCATATTATGGTTATAACCTGGCTGCTGTAGAGGGCTTCTGTTAAAAAAATGCTCCAGAACAGACATGCAAATGTGAAAAGCATAGACTAGTGCAAATACATTTCTCCAATTTTTAAAAATGTTTTTATATGAGCTAATAGGCTATTAAAAAGCTGTTTAGCCTACAATATTTACTACGTATAACTGTTAAATAGTGTATTAAGACTAATTTAAAAGATTT